AACTAAGTCTTGGAGGAAACCGGTGACCTATAAACCATACTGAGGATGTGTCATCCTGAACAGGCATAATGTGGATCAATAAATCTGTGCTTTTATCTGACACCAGAAATGAATGAAATCTTTGGAGACAATCCAAGAAGTCTATTTTAAAGGTAAGAAAATTATAACTTTATTATTATCCAGAAAATGTTATTACTTTTTGTTTTGTTTTGTTTTGTTTTGTTTTGTTTTTCAGCTCCTGCTCATGAATTGCAGAGAATATGTCCCATTTCACTGGATCTGGTCTAGCTTTACTGATTATTCAACCACTGGATTATATCAAAAGTAACATAGAATAAAAACCAAAATCAAGTCATACCAAGCTATTCAGCTTGATCTCCTAATCTTTCTTAGAAGTTTAACTTAGAGCCCTTAACTACCATTGAAGAAGGTTACCCATGGAAGGGTCGATGCAGAAAGTTCTAGAGACTTCCTAGGGCTCACCTCAGAAGAAGCTGCTAGTTGTCCTTACTGAGGCCCCTCTCAAGTAAATGAAGCCATTTTCAAACAAGAGTGTCACAGCCAGCTGTACATTTCATGGTTTCCCCAAATGATACAGTGAGAAACAGAAAACTTACCTATGTGAATTCCACATGAATTCTTTAATCCCTTTAAATTTCAGTGTATTTTACATGCAGAATTCAAGTGCAATATCTTTTCCTCATCTTCATAGTTTCATTTCTTTAGCCTTATTTTTTCTTTCTTCATATCTTACTTTCCTTTGAACTTTTCTGAATTGTAGTGCCTATTTCTGCCTTTTATATGTTAATTTTCCAAAATATAGTGCTGCTAAATTCAACTACTTGATTACACTGATCTTGCTCATGTACAGTTGAAAATGTGTGAAATTAAAGAAACTATTTTAGTAAAGGCCATCAGTGGCTTTGATATTGTTATCCCAATAGTCAACATCAGTTCTCCTTTTCCTATAAATACAAAGCATATTACACACTTGACTGCTACCTCTTCCTTCTTGCCCTCCATGTTCCCATTTAGGGGTCTTTCATTTAGCTGTGTTACCTGCCTCACTTCCCTTCATTTATCCACCCCATTTGAGGGAAATCGACACTGGTATGTATTTGTAATTATTTTAGTATACATCTATTATTTCATTCAAACAAATTCAAACTATTATTTCATTTGATTTTTTATTTAAGACTGTTTTACCTGCCTTATAAATTCTTTTATTCTGCTTTTCATCAATCCAATGTGGAATTATAATAATTATATATTTTGTGAACCATTTATCAAGTTTATTCCAAGACAATAAGTACATTATGGTTTACTGTAAGCCATTATTTGATTTCTTATGGCTAGATCTTTTAGTTCTCTCAATCTCTGTATTGTTAAACTACTCCAGGGGTTGTACTATGTGTACTTACAGCATTAGTCATTTTTTTCTGTTTACTTAGCTAAACATATTTTCATAATTCTGATGAATGCTTTTTAAAACTTCGAATTCCCTCTAAAATGCCTGTATACTTATTCAAATATTATTGGTGCGACTTTCGCAACTTGATAACTAATAGATTCCTCAGAGACATCATGTCTGAACTATATGCTGTTCTTTTTCAGTCATCTTCCCACAGTATCTGAACGTCATTTACAGGCAGCACCAGTCTTTCATTCTTTGGATCAAAATTTTGCAATTATCCTTTTATCTTATTTTCCTCTCTTGCTTCACTTTCAACTGTCAAAAGTTATGTTTTTTTTTTACTTAAAATATATCATCCCTTTTTGCTCTGGATCTTCCTGTTATGAACTAGATTACACTGAAAGTATATTTTATAAAATGTTAAGGTACAAGGCAATGAGAGCCTTAAAGAGATTTATATTATATATTTGTCAAACTCATAAAACTATACAAAACAAGCAGTAAATATTATTGAAAACTGTGGACATTAATATTATATTAATTTTCTTGTATTTATTATAACAAATGAGCTACAATAATCTCACATTACTGAAGTAAGATGAGTACCACAATCAAGAAATATATGGGAACACTGTACTATCCATTCAGTTTCTTCTAAATGTAAAAGAGTCCCAAAAATTATATTTAGTTAAAATTATATTATTAATTAATAATTATTTAATTGAAATATTTCAATTGAGTTAGTATTAATTTTAAATCAAGGAAATGAATTTGAATAATTAACCTTTCACAAAATAGAAATATTACACTAACACATCCAAGGGAAAATCTGGCTGAACACTAAGGAAATTCTAGTAGTATAAAAAGATAAGAAATGTACACATCAACATAGTAAGACGTACAGTTACGTAAAGTAGCTATCTTCAAAAACTTATAATGTTATATGTATGGTAATGTATATTTAGAATATTTAGAAATACACTGTTAAACATTTAGAATAGTTTAGTAGTAAACTGGAGGCTTGTTTAAATTTTATTTATAAACATTATAAAAATATTCATGAATATGAATAAAATTCTATTATGTTACTATATGAAAATTAATACTACAAAATAATTCTCTGCTGTATATGTCAGTTTAGCCTGTTTTAGTTAGGTACAACTATACTGTCTTCCTTTTCACTGTCAGACAGATTATATAGCAATTATACATATTGTAAAATATACATGTTATGCAATATCAAAAATACAAAGTTAATATTGCATGTTAAATAATTATAACAGTTTTGTTCACAAATTTAGACAGGGTGTATACCTGCTTTCTGTGTATTTGTGGGGGATAGATCACCTTGTATATCTAGTAGATAAAATTTTCATGCAAATCATCCATAGTGGATAAATGAATACATAAAACATGTAAATGACCTAGAGTAGTTAGTAAGTATATTTTTCTAAGGCAAATCCCAGGCAAATTTGTGAAGAATGGCACTGAGAAATATATTTAATTAATGTTTACTTTCCTCAGTTGTAGCCCATATTCAATCTTTATATAGAAAGGTATTTGCCACTTAATAAAATTGCACGTTTTTTAAAAAATGTTAAATTTTTGAGAATTCAAATATTAGTTTCTTATTCAATTTGATCTGATATTGGTATGACTAGATAGTCAAGTTTAAGATTTAAAATGAAATTTTTCCCATTAAAAGTTTTTAAATTATGAATCCTAAAGTTATTATTTATACATAATTGAACACAGTTTCTTATTAAAATGTATGCTTTTAAATGATCATTGATTGTAAAAACTTGTTTTATACATATTTTGATTGCAACACTTTATAAGCAGCATATTGCTTCTGCACCTGAAAATTTCAAATTTAGCATAAGGATCATATGATATTTAAGAAAGCAGCCATTTACTATGTGCAACTTTTGAAGGAATAATATTTCTTCCACCCTGAGTTATTTCTTAGAAAGTAACACAAATGGGAAACCTAGCTGATATAATTAGCAGATAGAAGATGGTAAGACAATTAAATAAAAGGTCATTTACATTATTTACAAACAAAGCCTTTCATCTTGTTAGTCTATTAGTTGGTGGAATAATTCGGTTTATAAATGTTTCTGGTCAATCTGAATATCAGTAACTCTCATAAATGGAATGCCCTGATTGAACCTGATGTATGCAAATGTAACACCTAGCGTTATGGATGCACTTTTAACTGATATGTTGTCACTTTAAATTACTTTGCATTGATATTTGTGGTTATTTAGTATTACAAATTAATTTGGCTGGCTTCCAGAACAAATAAACAAGTGCGAAACTGTCTCAATGCATTTATTGTGCTTGAATGATTGAAGGGCTTTTTTTGTGACTGTAGCTTTAACGTTCCAGAACAATTTTATCTAACAGCAGGAGGCGGCCAGACTTCCAAACAAACTGTTCTTTTATTGTAAATTATATAAAATCTCCATGAAAAAGATATTTGGTTTTAATTACAATAATAATAAATACAAAATTACTAAAACATCTTATGAAAAATTTCTAGACATAGCAAACTAGCAATAATTATAATAATAGCAATAAAATATAAATGGCAAGATTTACAGAAAAAATTAAAATAATTAATGGATAAAGCAAGGATTTTGAAGTGTTGGAAACAAAGTAATCATGGTTGAATGCACAGAAAAATAAAAGCTACTGAAAAAAAATGAATAAAAAACCCCATAAAACACTAATTTTATTTTGTGAGCTAAATGATATACCCTATGAAAAATTACAAGTTCAATAGGATCTAAGAAACCAGAGACAAAATTATTATCCTTCTATTCTTTGCATGGCCCTGTGTCAAATGTGACTTTTCTATTATAACTTATTAATGTAGCAGTCACACTTATATATACAGCTATAGCTAAAAGTAGTACTTTCAGGTATGGAACCTGGTGTTGATTTCTCCTGGGGCACTATTGTGGCTTATTTGCATATTCACTAAGGAAATGTCATAAATTCCCTGCTTTAATTTACATGTATAAACTTATGTCTTCTTTCCTTAGGTCTCAATAATATACAAAAAATGTTATGTCGTACTACTGTGCTAGGCTATGTGTCAGCTAGGCTATGTTATGGCACCTGTTTTCTTTTTCCAAACACCTCCCTAGATGATCATGTCATAAATGCGAATTTCTAGATATGATTAACGTAAAAATCTAGATTTTTACAGAGAGATTATCCCTACAATGTTATCTAATCAGTTGAGGGGTCTTAGAAGCAAAAACTGTACTTTTACAAACAAACAATTTTGCCAGGACTGTACAATATAGACACTGCCAAATTTCTAGCCCTCCAATTTCAGGTTTAAGACTGTAACAGCAACATTTTTCTAAATATTTATCCTGCCAGGTACGGTGGCAAGGTCTGTAATCCCAGCACTGAGGCAGGAGGATCTCTGTGAGTTTGAGCCCAGCCTGGGTCATGTAGTATGTTCAAGGCCAGCCTGAACTGCAGAGCCAGACTCTGTCTCAAAACAACAAAAACCCAAAATATGAAAAAGATAAATTGCATTCATGCCAGCACATCATACAAATTGCACATTTACCACTCCCACCATGAACTTTAAGAGCTACTTACTTCCATTCTGGTGGTGGGTGTGTGAACAGTTTTCACCTCCTTTGGGCACTGTTTCCCTCGAAAACATCAACTAATATTCATAGCTGTTGGGAATCTGTTAAGAGATTTCATAGTTTAACTCCAAACTGAACTATTGATTGCTCCCTACTCAGTGACTTTAGAATACAGCAGAATCATTTTCAATGTAATTTAGCTATACTAAATATTATGGGGTATTAGATTAGCTAAAATCTATATAAAGCAAATCAATCTGTATCTCCTAAATTTCTGATTTATTATCCAATACACTTGAAAGTGGACCTAGTGGATCACACTTTCCATCCAGAATTCTCACAGTTGTATTGCAAGCAAAATAGTCTCTTTCTTCCCAAACTACCTATATTATCTTCTCTATTCCAATCACAATAGCTTTGTGTCTTGATTACTTTTCTCTTGTTGCTGGGACAAAATACCTGACGCCCAAAATTAAGGAAGGAAAGGTTTATTTCACTTACAGTTTGTGGAGGTTTCAGTCCATACTTGGCAGATTATAAGGCAGAGTGGCACATGGCAGAGAGCTACAGCTCAGGGTGGCAGACAACAGCAAAAGCAACCAGCTCACACCAAGGGCGGAATGGGGGAGGAATGGCCTCAAGCACTCTCTTCCTCTCCCTTACTTATGCAAACTATCCACCCCAAGGCGGTGCAGCTCTCACATCTTAATCAAACTCTTAGCCTGACCCATGGCCGCATGAGGCTTTGGGGGAACACACAGACATAAGCCATAACACTTTGTTAGTCTATGAATAATAAAGTGCAAGACAAGTCTAAGCGGAGAGGGTGGTAAGGGGTACGCTTCTGAGTGAGCTGAGTCAGACTGAAATCTCATGGTTATCATTTGATAATTGTTGCCTTCAATACATGACTAGGATCAGTTGCTTGAAGTAAAAACACTTTGTTACCTCAAATTATGGTTCTCTAGCCATGAATGAATACTCACTATAATACTAGAATACAGCTGTTATTGCTACTCTGGTACTGTTTTATTACTAACCCTTTGTACCAAACTTCACCTGGGTCTATTTATATAAATATGAGTTCATTTACAGGACTTTAAGTAGATATGCATTGATTTGAGTCTCACAAAAAAGGAAGGACAAAGTCTTATCTTAACTATTAATAATTAAAACCCCCAAAACAAATAAAAATCAGAAGAATAACTTCAAATATAAGAATAATGACATTAATGTGCCTGTGCAAATTAATACATTGAGTTTTCAGATCTATTAACAGGTAATATATTTGGAATTTGAATATTATCTCAACTTTATTATTTTGTATATGTACAATATTCAATATTATGTCTACCATATGTATGCATGTGAATATGTTCTGCATCTATGTAGAGAATAGCATGGATATATATATGTATATATAGAGAGAGAGAGAGAGAAAGAGAGAGAGTGTGTTTACGTGTGAGTTTGTGATATGTTACTTCATATGCCCACTGAACTACACCTCAGAGTACAAAAATTTAGGCAAGCATTATTCTGGGTATATCTATGAATATATTTTTTCATAAGATTAACATTTAAATCTGCAGCCTGAGAAAGGTAGTTTGTTAACCCTAATTTGAATTATGCTCCTCTAAACTTTGAAAACTTTGGATAGAGCAAAAGTACTGAGTGTTCTGAGAGTAGGATGGATTGCCTCCACCTTTTAACTTGTGACATTATTTTTCTCTAACTTTGGACTGTAAATGAAATCAATTTATCTGAGTCTCCAGATTGCTTCCACAGCTATGGATATGCGCAATCTTATCAGCATCTATAATCCTGTGGGTCAATTCCTCAAATATATATACAGAGTCTGACAAAAAGGTATACACACTTCAGGAAAAGAAAGACTTGTGTAAATATTTTAATATGGTGTTATGGTTTGTATCTGGGTGTCCCCCCAAAGCCTCATGGTGTCATGGGGCAGGCTTTTAGAGTTTGATTGATTATGGGTGTGAAAGCTGCACCCACCCTGGGGTGGATAGTTTGCATATGTAAGGGAGAGCAAGAGGCTGCTTGCAGCTATTCCTGGCTTTTGTGCTTGTTGACTCTGCTGTGTTCTGCAGCCATGAGCTGTAGCCCTCTGTTATGTGCCACTCTGCCTTGTAACCTGCCAAGTATGGACTGAAACCTCCACAAACTGTAAGTGAAATAAACCTTTCTTTCCTTAATTTTAGGTATCAGGTATTTTGTCCCAGCAACAAGAGAAAAGTAACCAAGACATATGGAAATTATTGTGACACCATGAGATTAATATGTTACTTTTGGCATCAGTAATTACAAGTGTCACTCACATATATATATATATATATATGTGTGTGTGTGTATATATATATATATATATATATTCAGTATATGTATATTTTCAGTATAACATTATAGGTTTTGTTTTCTAGAGAACCTAGACTCAAATAGATTTGAGCACAGAGCATTATTTTAGAGAAACAAAATTCTAAGGATTAATTTTTCTTATTGATTCTGGAGTTCATGGAATCAGATCACTGATCTGATCATACATAAAGGGAACAGTGACCTTAGGTCCAGCACTGAAGAGAACACTGATTCCTTGTAGTGTACAGCAATGGAAATATGCTAAATATCACCACTGATACTCCTAATCCACCATTTGTAAGACAGAAGAGTCCAAGTGATGAAGAATATTATAAATGTGTTTCTGGTAAATTAGTGAACATAATGAAATTGTTGATTTCAAATGTTACTAGAAAAAGTAATGAAAAGCAAAAGATAAAATATGGTATTTGAATTTCTAGAGTAAGTGCTTCATGAATACATGAAAGGTTTTATGCATGATGTTAGGGAGACTGGTCATCTTTTGTTATGCAAGCTAAAATTGCTGATCATGACATACAAGAATGCATCTCGCAACTCCTAAACTGCAAGCCAGTTTGAACTCCCAGCTTCACAGAATGTCTCATGTTAACACAAAAGCATTGACTGGGAAGAATCCAGAACCTGGAAATAGGAGGGGACTATATTGGCAATCCCTGATGAAACTGGACACTTGACAATGTAAGTTTTACTGAATGTTCGTTTGGAAATAGCCTCTCTTCACACAATGTGAAAGGACATGTGGGCCAATAGATGCTGTCAGTTTGCCTTCATTAGAAGTAGACTCCTCACCCTATTTTGATGGAATTCATCCTGCATTTCCTGAAGCAACAGTTTCTCTGCAAGGCAATGCAAGAAATAGGAAAAACATTTCCTGTGCAAGTCAATGCTGCCATTCCTCAGTACTCTCCCTCAACCCATCTTTGCTTCTTCAGTTTTAACCAGAAAAACTTCCCAGCAGACTCTTAAAGGTGAAGAGCCTAGCGGGATCAATGACAGGGTCTACTACATTCAGAAAGATCCCTTGATTTTTCTAGTACATACAGACAAAAATCTAGGGAACATATATAGGAGTGGATACTAATGATACATAACAGTAGAGGAAGGCACATACAGTTGGATGGGTGAATGGAGTTACTGTAACCTTCAGCAGAATCAAAATCAGAATAGTCTGATTTGCCTTCAAATATGGTTATGGCTAGTTCACCATAATATTCCTAAAAATTGGCAACATCTCTCAGAAATGAAAATGAAGAAGTAGAAGGAAGACACCAACTAAATTTGTACTTGATCTTTATAATCAAAAAAGATCTAGGTCAAGGAATAAAACGCAATGATTAGCTGTAGTGCACAGGAACAGCCCCTCAAGAATTCCAGTGTTTGGGGGCTGAGGATTTAGCTCAGTGGCACAGCGCCTGTCTGGCAAGTGCGAGGTCGTGAGTTCAATTCCTAGTACTGGAAAAAAAAACCACAAAACACACACACAGAGAAAAAAAGAATTCCAATGTTTGATGCCACTTATAGGTACAGACCCACACTGAAAGAGATGAGGAACATTCTTCTAATGAAAGGACATTACGAGAATTTATGTTGCTACTTTTCCTCCCAGCCTTCCCAAGTGACATGTGGTTCTTTAAGGGGATACCTGTGTAGGCAAAAAGGAAAGAAAAAGAACTTTCAGGGGCTATTGGACAGTGGCCCAGAACCAATCCCGATTCCATAAATGTCACTATAATCCATCCATTTGAGTAGAAGCTATTGGAGTTTGGGTAATAAATGGAGTTTAAACTTAGACTTAACTCAAATGGAGTGTGTGTTTTTTCAATCCCATTTTATGGTTATTTCCATGGCACTGGAATATGTAATGGAAACAAATATGTCTAGCAGATGGCAAAACTCCCACATAGTTCTCAGATGTATGATGCGATGTCTTTGATGGTGGGAAAGTCCAAGGAGAGGACACTATAAGTATTTCTCCAGAGGAAAAGAGTGAGCCAAAAGCGATACTACTTTCTCTGAAGCATCTCCGTCCCACCACCATTTATAGCCTGAAAGTGCAAGGGTGACAATTTCATCACATTCACGTTCAACACACTTATTTGGTTTGTGCAAAAAACAAGCAGATCTTAAAGAATGACAATGAGCTACTGTAAGTTTTACCAGGTTACAATTCCAACCAAAGCTCCCATGCTAGATCTGATTTCACTGTTTCAGCAAATTTCTCTAACGTAGATATTAACCACTTAACACTTTACCTCGAGAGTCACTTGGGCAGTGTGTTTATGTACTGACTACCCCAGGCATCACTCAGGTAGGTGTCATTTCAACCAGTCGATTCTTGTATTGAATAAATGTGATAAAATTGTCGTTTTATATTTCCATCATATTATCTTACAAAAATTAACAAAAAATACAATATTTGGTCATCTTATATTTGAATAGCTGGACTGGTAAGTGACTAACCTGTCAAATGCCTTTTTCCTTTCTCCTGGAATCAGCACCATCAAAATTAGTTTGCTAAGCATCCATAGCCAGCAAAAGTTATCACTTCCCACCCTTGGGAGTTCATCAACTTTCAAGATCAATGTCATTGTTTTGTTCATGGACATCTCAGTCACCTTTCCCTTCCACAAATCATCATGCCAGCCACACAGTGAGTGAGCTGGTTTTATCTAGACCTTGTGAGTAAGAAGAGGCGACCATGCTAGAT